TAGGGTTGGGGGGAATCCTACTCCCAGAGGGAGTAGGACTCTCCTGGCGCGCCTCCTGTGGCCGACCAACCTCCCCCCTCTAATCCTTTATATACTGAGGCAGAGGCACCCCAGAAACACACAAGTTGATCCACGTGATCTATTCCTTAGCCGTGTGCGGTGCCCCCAGCCACCATATTCCTCGATAATACTGTAGCGGAGTTTAGGCGAAGCCCTGCTGCTGTAGTGCATCAAGATCGTCACCACGCCGTCGTGCTGACGGAACTCTTCCCCGACACTTTGCTGGATCGGAGTCCGGGGATCGTCATCGAGCTGAACGTGTGCTCGAACTCGGAGGCACCGTAGTTTCGGTGCTTGATCGGTTGGATCGTGAAGACGTACGACTACTTCCTCTATGTTGCGTCAACGCTTCCGCAGTCGGTTTGCGTGGGTACGTAGACAACATTCTCCCCTCTCGTTGCTATGCATCACATGATCTTGCGTGTGCGTAGGAATTTTTTTGAAATTACTACGAAACCCAACAGTTCTATAGGCCCATAATGCATCATCAAGTTTCTTGGACCAATTCTTTCTAGACCTATTGACAGTCTTTTGCAAAATTAATTTGAGTTCTCTATTACTCAATTCTACTTGACCACTAGACTGTGGGTGATACAGAGATGCAATTCTATGATTGGTGTCATATTTAGCAAGCATTTTACGGTAAGCACCATGAATAAAATGTGAACCACCATCAGTCATTAAATATCTAGGGACTCCAAACCTTAGAAAAATAACTGCTTTAAGCATTTTAATAGAAGTGTTATGATCAGCACTACTAGTTGGAATAGCTTCTACCCACTTAGTAACGTAATCAACAGCAACTAAAATGTGTGTATATCCATTAGAGGCAGGAAAAGGTCCCATATAATCAAAGCCCCAAACATCAAACAGTTCAATAACAAGTGAATAATTCATAGGCATTTCTTGACGTCTACTAATATTACCAATTCTTTGACATTCATCACAAGATAGGACAAACTTACAGGCATCCTTGAAGAGAGTAGGCCAATAAAAATCGGATTGCAATACCTTATGTGCAGTTCTATCTCCCGCGTGGTGTCCTCCATAAGTTTCGGAGTGGCACTTGCGTAGGATCTGTTCATGTTCATGCTCAGGTACACAACGTCTAATAACACCATCTACTCCTTATTTATAAAGATGTGGGTCATCCCAAAAGTAATGTCTCAAATCATAGAAGAACTTTTTCTTTTGTTGGTATGTGAAGCTAGGTGGTATGAATTTAGCAACAATGTAATTAGCATAATCAGCATACCAAGGAGTACTACGAGAAGTACTTATGATATTTAATTGTTCATCAGGAAAGCTATCATCAATAGGTAGTGGGTCATCATCGGGTATACCTGCAAGCTTAAATAATCCACAAACTTCATCCACATATATTACGTGTTCATCAGGATGCTTTGTTCCATCTCCTGTAAAAGGATTAGCTAGCAGTTTTTCTATCATACTCGAAGGATACTCATAAGGAATTTCATTTTCAATAGGTTCAGTAGGTTGAGGAGCAAGTCTTTGCTCTATTGGTCGGGGTGAAGATACCCCGAACAAGCCCCTCAGAGGATTACTTTCCATAGTAACAAGTGACAGTAAATTTCAGCACACTATATAAATTTTTTCTTACCAAATTCCACCTACCAAAGGCGCTTCACTCTCCGGCAACGGCGCCAGAAAAGAATCTTGATGACCCACAAGTATAGGGGATCTATCGTAGTCCTTTCGATAAGTAAGAGTGGCGAACCCAACGAGGAGCAGAAGGAAATGGTAAGCGGTTTTCAGCAAGGTATTCTTTGCAAGTACTGAAATAAGTGGTAACAGATAGTTTTGTGATAAGATAATTTGTAACGAGCAACAAGTAATAAAAGTAAATAAAGTGCAGCAAGGTGGCCCAATCCTTTTTGTAGCAAAGGACAAGCCTGGACAAACTCTTATATAAGGAAAAGCGCTCCCAAGGACACATGGGAATATCGTCAAGCTAGTTTTCATCACGTTCATATGATTCTCGTTCGGTACTTTGATAATTTGACATGTGGGTGGACCGGTGCTTGGGTGTTGTTCTTACTTGAACAAGCATCCCACTTATGATTAACCTCTATTGCAAGCATCGGCAACTACAACAAAAGTATTAAGGTAAACCTAACCATAGCATGAAACATATGGATCCAAATCAGCCCCTTACGAAGCAACGCATAAACTAGGGTTTAAGCTTCTGTCACTCTAGTAACCCATCATCTACTTTTTTTGACATAAAGACTGTAAGGGACCCCCCTAAAGTATAATTGGTGCAACAAACCCAAATTGCAAGTACCATGCCTTGAACCTGCGTGGGTGGGAAGGCATCAGCCCCTTCCACCACTAGGCTATGCCTTAGTCTGCAACCCATCATCTACTTATTACTTCCCAATGCCTTCCTCTAGGCCCACATAATGGTGAAGTGTTATGTAGTCGACGTTCACATAACACCACTAGAGGCTAGACAACATACATCTCACCAAAATATCAAACGAATACCAAATTCACATGACTACTAATGGCAAGACTTCTCCCTTGTCCTCAGGAACAAACGTAACTACTCACAAAGCATATTCATGTTCATAATCAGAGGGGTAATAATATGCATAAAGGATCTGAACATATGATCTTCCACCAATTAAACCAACTAGCATCAACTACAAGGAGTAATTAACACTACTAGCAACCTACTAGCACCAATCCCGGACTTGGAGACAAGAATTGGATACAAGAGATGAACTAGGGTTTTGAGATGAGATGGTGCTGATGAAGATGTTGATGGAGATTGCCCTCTCCCGATGAGAGGAGCGTTGGTGATGACGATGGCGATGATTTCCCCCTCCGGGAGGGAAATTTCCCTGGCAGAACAGCTCTGCCGGAGCCCTAGATTGGTTCCGCCAAGGTTCCGCCTCGTGGCGGTGGAGTTTCGTCCCGAAAGGTTGCTTCTGGGTTTTTTCTCGGCGAAAGACTTCATATAGCAGAAGATGGTCATCGGAGAGCCACCTGGGGGCCCACGAGGTAGGGGGCGCGCCCCCCACCCTCTTGGACAGGGTGTGGGCCCCCTGGTCTTCATCTTTGGCGAGGATTTTTTATTATTTATTATAAGGTATTCTGTGGAGTTTCAGGACTTTTGAAGTTGTGCAGAATAGGTCTCTAATATTTGCTGCTTTTCCAGCCCAGAATTCCAGCTGCCGGTATTCTCCCTCCTTATGTAAACCTTGTAAAATAAGAGAGAATAGCCATAATTATTGTGACATAATGTGAAATAACAGCCCATAGTGCAATAAATATCGATATAAAAGCATGATGCAAAATGGACGTATCATATGTCAAATTGGAAAAGCATATCTACATCTAATTATCTATATGCCTAATTAATTGTTGCATTAATGACTCGGTGTACAAATTGATTCTTTGCGAAAAAATCCTTACTGAAGTGGACCAAATTATATACGAGTTGGTACAGACATAACCTTTCGCTCCTGCCCACGTGCCAACTCCTATCTAGGGTTTCCTTGCCTCTCACCGGCGCCGCCAGTCCGCCTCATCTCCTATGGTCCTTGGACCATGGAGGCACAGTGGATCTCGGCTCTTGCGGCGGGAGGGCTTCGCTTTTAGATGGTTTTCTGAGTTTAGTTAGGGTTTGTGCCATGCTCAATAAGATGAGGCGGCGACGACTTTTTGAAGATGGAATAAGGTCCTCCCCGCCTAGCTTCCATCCCGGTGATGTTTCAAGCATCATCGGAAGGCGTGTGGAGGTTTGTCTTCGGCGGATCTCGTGGGATCCGGTCGGCGTTTGTCTTCGGTGGATCCAACTGGATCCGGTCTTCGTTCGTCTACGTCTGTGTGTCTGCAAGTTGGATCCTTCCGGTCTATGCTTCTCTTCATCGGCGGCGGTTGCTGTTTTGGTGCGCTGGTCCTATGGGGCCTTAACACGACGACCTCCCGACTGTCTACTACAACAATGTTTGCCCGGCTCCGATGAGGGAGGGGCGATGACGGCGGCGCGTCTTCGGCTCGCTCCAGTGCTTGTAGTCGTCGCTAGGTGGTCTATGGACCTGGATGTAAATTTTACTTCTAGTGTTCTTTGTACTACCTTGACAGTTGATTAATAGATCGAAAGTTTTCTCGTAAAAAAAAGAAATGGACCAAATTAATTGCACAGATAATTAGCAAGTACTATCTAAGTAATAATGAAATTAATGACTTGATATCAAAATTAATTCGGCGCTCGGTTTTGAAATTGCTTTCCAGTAATGACTACGTGCAAACGGCGACGACCTACGGATTCTTCTTTTAGAGATTTGCTTGCCCTCTTGAGCCTCTACAGTAATGATTTACTTGATTACTTACTTACAATCAAGCAAACACTAATTTACTTGATATACTTGTTACATAGAACCATACTATTTTCTCTTGATTTTCTCGTGTTGCCTAATTTGCAAGCATTGGAAGTTGATTTTCTTCTGAAATCACAGAACCATACTACTTCTTTCGTCTCATAATATAAGACGTTTTTTAACACTAGTATTTGCTTGATTACCCTAATTAAGTGACATAATGTAACATTTATGTGCAAATTACCCTAATTAAGCACATAGCATTATTTTGGCAAGTCATGTCCGGTTGCCTAATTCGCAGACACTGTCCTCTGAGGCTCTCACTGACACACCGCTCGTGGGTACATGATTAACGGGTCGAGCCGAATCGGGCAAGAAATGATTCTCGACCCGCAATCGCAGCGATCGCCAACGAAGCAAGCACCCAGCGCAATCAACCGCGTTATATCCGTCCATGTCTGGAGAGCGCAGGCGACTTTTATAAAAGCCGCCTCCCCTCGCCGTTGCCGGACACTGCCAAAAAGCAGGGGCCGCCAAGCTCCGCTCCGCTCGCCATTGTCGTCCGGTGAAGCTGCCAAGGAGGAAGAAGCAATGGCCCGTTGTGGGGTCGCCGTTCTCGTGCTGATCCTGCTGGCCTGTGTCGCTGCGGCGGCCGCTGGCGGTAGGGATCACCACCACCGGCGGGGCAGCAGGGCGTCGGCGCGGCTGCAGCTGGTGCCCGCCGCCCCGGGCGCGTCGCTGGCCGAGCGCGCGCGGGACGACCGGCACCGGCACGCCTACATCTCCCGGAGGCTGGCGTCGTCGGCGTCGTCTAGCCGGCGGCGCGCGGCCGAGACGTCGACGGCCCCGGGGCCGGAGGCGTCGGCGTTCGCGATGCCGCTGACGTCGGGCGCGTACACGGGCACGGGGCAGTACTTCGTGAAGTTCCGCGTGGGCACCCCCGCGCAGCCCTTCGTGCTCGTCGCCGACACCGGCAGCGACCTCACCTGGGTCAAGTGCCGCGGCGCGTCCTCGCCGTCGGCCGCGTCCCCGTCGGGCTCGCCGCGCGTGTTCCGGCCCGCCGACTCCAAGTCGTGGGCGCCCTTCCCGTGCTCCTCCGACACGTGCAAGTCCTACGTCCCCTTCTCCCTCGCCAACTGCTCCGCCGGCACCGCCCCCTGCGCCTACGACTACAGGTCAGTACCACCACCATTGCCAAGTTGTCGCTTCTCCATTCTAGCTCGCTCTGGATCGTGCGACACGGTGGTTCGGTTCGGGGTGGCGCGGCAGCAGGTGCGCAGTAAGTGCGCGCCGTGGCCGGCCTAGTGGCCTGGGTGCGTGCTGGGTGGGTGTGGCGCGCGGGCAGGGGCCATAAAGTTGCCGCGGCCGTGGTGACTGTGGCCGCCTCGCCGTAGCAGAGCAGGGCGTGGCATTCATTCACTCACGAAGCCCCGAGCTTCGCCTTCCTGCTTCGGCTTTTGTGGCGTTCGTTACGGCCATTGATTGCGCGCGCCCGCGTAGGTGGATGAGCGATCATGAGCATGTCCGAACGAGGTACGAATCAGAGCCCGTCGCGCCGATCGGCCCCCGTCCGACCCGCTCGCTCTTCACTCCGCATTCACTGGGTTTCCACCAACTCCACTGTGGAGTCCAGCAGTATCTATGTATAGAGTATACATTTTTCCTGCCAATTTTTCTACTATCTGGTTTCGATCGTGATGATGCACAGTCTCCAAGCTCGGACAGGGGGATTGAGGCGGTCTCCCTATTTAATCGTTGGCGTCAGACGGCCGCGTCACCTTGTCGCGCGCGCCAGATTTGGACGCACGCCGCGTGGGTGTGCGCGCTCTGGGCTTGCTCCGCTGGTGGCACGCCGCGCGCACGTTGCCGTCTAGGCTAGGCGGCGGCGCGCGCATGCGGCCAGCGACGATGCGCTGTCGTCGTTGCTATAAAAAACGGAGCAGCTTGGCAATGGTAGATGGCGCCCAACGGTGGGTCGGGCTGGCCGGGGCGACCGAGGAACGCGCCATGTGCGGCTGCGCGTACGTACGTACGTACGCGTATGATTAAAATTCAGAGAAACGCACGCAGTGTTTGCTTGCTCTGTCCTGAACTACTCCTGTTGCTGGCAACTCTGTCTTTTGCCAAGACTGTTGATTTGTTCTCCCTGTCGTTCATACTTAGCACAGCTTGCTCCTTCGTAGTACAGTGCTAACCGCAGTCGTGAAACTCATGACACTATTACCACAAGCGGTAGCACCCTCAAGCTGACCAGCAGACTGCGTCTGAACCTTTGCCACGTTCGGCCGCAAGCTTTTGGCCAACATGTCGATCCATCTGTCACCGATCGCTTTAGCACCTGCTTTACAGTTAACGGCTAGGTTTTCAGAAAAGGCGATTAGGAAATGTACCATTCCGCAGCTCGTTTATTGGGCATGTACGTGCGATGCAAGTTGGGATCGACGCGCGCGCAGTATCTGAATCTTGCCATGTTCGCCCTTATCCAGCCCAGCATATGATCTGTCACCGATCTCGATCTTCAGCACCTGCTTTGCAGGCAATTAACTCAAGTAGGTCCGATGCGCTGCTGTACTAATCCTACTAAAAAATGATTAGCTAGACAAATGTACTCTGTTCTTTTTCTTTTCGAGACCGGAGGGGAAGAATCCCTCGGTTTACTTTTATAGAAGAATTAGGTGAGTACGCGCTGGTATTGCGAGCACGGAGGCTCGAACCCAGGCGGGCAGGCATGCATCAGCCCATGCCTACCATCCCGGCTATGCCGTGGTTCTCAATCAAGGGGCAATGGGGGTGCCACTGCGTAGCTCGTTCGGTCTGCCAGCTAGCTTGATGAGGCTGATTGACATTCATATTGGTGCGTCACTGTTCTTTGCCGAAAACAGACTGGGTCACCTGGCTACAAAACTGTGTTGAGCTACGCTGGATTATTATGCCCTCCCTCCACTGTACTTAGGTCCACCTCTAGGAACAATGCTCCCTCCTTTTGCTTTACAGTTCATGAACAAGACGTGTGATCTTTTCAAATGATGATTCCGTTATGGAGCATATGGAAGATGAGTAGCAGTAGTATCTTGCAAGCTGGCTCTGTCTGTTGTTTACCTTGTGCATGCTGCCTTACGAAAAGACACGGTCCCCATGGCACACCACCATCACTTTGTAGTAGTAACTTGCAAGTAGGATTTCATCAGATGAACACATTAGGCCCAGGATCACCAACAGACACCGTGCGCGCTCTAGCTGGAGTGGGTCAACTCGGCTCCATCATAATGCGTTGCAAATTTTCTTCCCGGCTGCGCTGTGTTCTGCTACCCTGTCAGAATCTCTGGCTGCATGTGCCATCCAACCGCTAGCCCACCCAACTGATGATCCTAACGACCTGATCGTGCGTGTGGCTGGCAGGTACAAGGACAACTCGTCGGCCCGCGGCGTGGTGGGCACGGACGCGGCCACCGTCGCGCTGTCCGGCTCCAGAGGCGGCGGCGCGGACAGGAAGGCCAAGCTGCAGCAGGTGGTGCTGGGCTGCACCACCTCCTACGACGGCCAGAGCTTCCAGGCCTCCGACGGCGTGCTCAGCCTCGGCAACAGCAACATCTCCTTCGCCGCCCGCGCCGCCGCGCGCTTCGGCGGCCGCTTCTCCTACTGCCTCGTCGACCACCTCGCCCCGCGCAACACCTCCAGCTACCTCACCTTCGGCCCCGACGCCAACGGCGCCGCTTCATCGTCGAGGACGCCGCTGCTGCTCGACGCCCAGGTGGCCCCGTTCTACGCCGTCACGGTCGACGCCGTCTCCGTCGCCGGGGAGGCCCTCGACATCCCCGCCGAGGTGTGGGACGTCAAAAAGAGCGGCGGCGCCATCCTCGACTCCGGCACCAGCCTGACCATCCTCGCCACCCCGGCGTACAAGGCTGTCGTGGCCGCGCTGAGCAAGCAGCTCGCGGGAGTGCCGCGGGTGACCATGGACCCGTTCGAGTACTGCTACAACTGGACGGCCACGAGCACGCCGCCGGCCGTCCCGAAGCTGGAGGTGCGGTTCGCCGGGTCGGCGCGGCTCCAGCCGCCGACCAAGAGCTACGTCATCGACGCGGCGCCCGGCGTCAAGTGCATCGGGCTGCAGGAGGGCGTGTGGCCCGGGGTGTCCGTCATCGGCAACATCCTGCAGCAGGAGCACCTCTGGGAGTTCGACCTCGCCAACCGCTGGCTTAGGTTTAAGGAGAGCCGTTGTGCACAGTAATTAATTGTTAGGCAGCAAAGTACTCCCTCCGTCCGGGTGTATAAGTCATTCGCGTAGTTCTAGGTCATCGATTTGAGGAATTAAATATGTGTTATATGTCATGAAAAGTATACCACTAGATTTCCACACGGATGTAGTTTCTAAATATATATTTTTTGTCACATATAATACATATTTAGATAGTTAAATTATCAACCTAGAACTACGCGAATGACTTATACACCGGGACGGAGGTAGTAGTCATTTCTTCTGATTCCGTTCTCGTTCTTTCCCGTAAGGGTCTCGCTGATTCTGTAAGGCTCTTTCATAAGCAAGTGTTAATGAAAATGGGATGAAGATATCTGAAGTTGAAACAGGATAATGCAAGTTTCTGACACGGATCTTTTACAAAGATTCACTAAAATACGTAAAAGGCTATCTAAGAGCATCTTTAACGGCCGCACAAAAGTCTTGTGCCCAATAAAAATTATAGCGCGTCACTGTAACACTTTTAATGCGTCTGGACCAACATTACTTTAGTAGACGCTTAAAAACACGTGTCCAAAAAGCACACAATGTAAATTGTGAAGCACGCGTAACTCGGAACCCAAAATATGCTGCGCGTGATAGTGTTTTTCAGCGCACGCCAAAAAACTTTTAACGTTACAGCATCTACTGGAGCTGCTCGGCGCCAAAAAAATAAAATTTTAGTGCGTGAAGCTCTTTGTGGCCGCCTATTGGAGATGCTCTAATGGTCATTCTACCCTTGTTTGATTCTGAAGGTTGAGTATTACTATATTATGCTACCGTATCATAATAAATAATATGACACTACAATGTCTTATACTCCCTCCGTTCCGAAATAATTGTCTTTCTAGAGATTTCAACAATTGACTACATACGGAGCAAAATGAGTGAATCTACACTCTAAAACATGTCTACATACATCCGTATGTTGTAGTTCATTTGAGATGGCTAGAAAGACAATTATTTCGGAACGGAGGGAGTACATGAGATTTTCTAAGATATTCCCTCAGTCCCATAATATAAAAGATTTTTTGACACTTCCCATAATATAAGAGCGCTTTCCACAATATTATATTATAGTGTCAAAAAAACTCTCATATTATGGGAAGAAGGGAGTACTAATTTATGTATATTATGGATATAATAATACTAGCATATGATACTTCCACTACGACCAGCCTTAGTTATACAAATCCCATAAAGAATAAACACTAAAGAACCATTGATTCATGTGATGGGTTAAGATATTTAAATTGATCAATGTAATTTACTCGCATAGAGTTGCTAGCTAGCTATAACCTGAAGTCCCTTGGTGATTAGTGATTACACACTCTGGATCTTAGTTGGCACTTGGTAGGTGCCTAGTACAGACTACAGACAGAGCAAAAAGTAGAGACCAGAGACAATATTACCTTTGTGGAATATATCTGACCTAAGATCCAAGAGAAAGCAGACAAAGACAACTCCATACGTATATGAATATCTTATCATGATACATTATGGTACTCAAGTACAGTATGTACAATCAGCCGGCGAGATTGTTCGCTTGGCTGTATTCTTTCAGAGTCCCACACCAAATGCAGCATGTGCAAGCTCGGGAGTGGAAATGACGACTCCTCCACCTGCAATGTGGGCTTCGACATTGAAGCACGCATAAAAGTTGGCCATCCGTCAAGAATGGACAACTACATGCTCATTAGTTAGTTAGGGCATATCTAACGCCGACCCTTAAACTGTCTGCATCCGTTCGGACCGTCGAGAAATCCAACCCCGGACTATATCGATCCGCATAGCGGTCCGGACGTGTTTTCTTTCGCAAATCGGAATCAAACATGGAGAGGGTTTTGCGGGAGTCCGGACACATGAAACGTCACTCTCTGACCCCCACCCCCCTCCCGCCCCACGCGAAAGGAAGACGGAGCCCGCGCTTTTATAGCAACTCATAGTTTTTGCGCCAAAATCCTCCACTCCCCTTTTTCTTCCTCCGCCGCTCTTCGTCCAATTCCCGCTCTTTTCTCCCACCCTCTCTTTCCTTCCGCCGACGACGCATGGAATCACGGAGAACCTGCCGAAGATGGAGGTGGCGAAGGTGCCGAAGGATTCGAGCATCACACTCGCACGGAAGATCGGCTCGGCTACGCGGCAAACTCGGTGTGTCAAAGCGAAGGCCGCAAAGGAGGAGAAGCTCAAGAACAGGGTGCTCGCAGGCTGTTCGCTATAATGCCTAGAGCGGGGAGCCGACGTACGACGACAACGACAGGCAGATGCTCGACATCATCTACGACGTAGGCGAAAGAGGAGGAGGTGGCTATGAGGACGGGTAGGTGGAAGACTCGGATCCCATCCAATCCGGCAATTACCACCAGCAGCAGTCCAACACCCAGACGGCCACGCAGCAATCTCATCGTCGTCTGCATAAGGTCATCACCGACATCATCAACAACAACATCGCACCAGCAACAGCTACGACTGCCAATGAACATGTGTTCGTGTCTTCTATTTGTAGTTGATGTTACATGTACGATGCTACTGTGCATTGCATGCGGTTGTTGCATACTAATTACTGTTAAGGCCAAGGTCGCGCGCTCGAGGACGACCAAGCGATAACGGTCGAGGGTTCCGACCATGCCTTCGAGAACAACAGTATAGGACAAACAGTCATACATCATCACTTTTTAAATATTGTTTCACCTCGTAGCAACGCATGGATATTTTAGCTAGTTCGTCTTCAAGATGCAAGATTTGATTGATTGAGTTGGTACGGGCACCATATATGCCCGCGGCGCCGATTTCAGCAGAGATACGCGAGTATAGAGCGACGCACCTTTGGCCGATGATTCCAAACCCAATCAGGGCGAACAGCTCCGATTCTGGCCGGTAAACACATACGCCGGTGCATCTACACCGAACCAGCACATTTCCACGTGCGCCCCTGATTACGCGCCAGTGATTGATTTTTGTTGCCATATGCGCGCGAACATTGATCTGTTGAACCTGCTAATCATACGGTCACACGTACCATAACAAAATCGCCCAACTATCGCCTATGATAGCAATGCGCGCATTGCACACGAACTGGCCCTGCTGCTCGCCACGTACGTGGCAGCTCGATGGCACACCCGTTTCCCTTGTGCTGATGCATGCATTGCAGAGACTAGCTACGTAGGAGCTTATAGAACAGGTGGCCGGCGCGTCACATCACCGGATGACACGTCTGCGTACCGATCATGTAACGTTATTTTCACTGCCTCAGGCAAAGGCCGGCTCGCATGCCGGCCTGGCATGGCCCACACAAACCATGTCGGCCGTAACTTGGCCGTACACGTAACAGTTGCTTCTCCACATACGTGAGAAAAGAGAGATTGAGATTTGGTAACTCGTTGCTGGTCGTCGCCTATGCTAGCAATGCGCATTGCACACGAACCGGCCCTGCTGTCATCCCTGTTCGCCACGTACGTGGCAGCTCGATGGCACACCAGTTTCCTTGTGCTGATGCATGCATTGCAGAGACTAGCTACGGTAATACTTCTTCCGTCCGCGAATAAGTGTATATCTAGCTTTTGTTTTAAATTAAACTTTTAAAATTTTGATCAACATTTTAGGGAAAAGCGGTAGCATTTATGACACTAAATTAGTATCGACATATTCGTTTTGAAATGTAGTTTCATAATATACCAATTATTGCTACTACACTTTTTAATAAAGTCGATTAAAATTTTAGAATTTTAACTCAGGACAACACTTATTCGCGGATGGAAGAAGTACTCCCTCTGGTCCTTTTTAGTTCGCATATAAGATTTGACTGAAGTCAAGCCTTATAAAGTTTGACCAACTTTGTAAAAAAAAATGCCAACATTCACAATCTAAAATCAATACGACTAGATGTGTCATGACTTAAAGTTTTATATTATATAACTTTAGCATGGCAGATGTTGATATTTTTTCATATAAATACAGTCAAACTTTATGAAGTTTGACTTCAGAGAATTCTAATATGTAAAGAGTATATAACAGATGGCCGGCGTGTCACATCATCGGATGACACGTCTGCATACTCCGTTATTTTCACTGCATCAGTCATTGGCCGGTTTGGCTTGGCCCCACAAATCATGTCGGCCGTAACGGGGCCGTACACGTAACAGTTGCTTCCTCACACACACATACAGGAGAAAAAGGGAAACTGAAATGTAGTAACTCGTTAATGGTCGTCGCTTTCACCTGCCCCCGTTGACAAACACATGCAATTAACCATGCACACGTCAAGTGGACGGCGAGCGTGCACCAATCTGCCAAATCGCGCGCTAACCACAACACGGCCACGTTGTCACACAGGTGTTAGATTACGTGGGGCATGCACGCATGGTACTCCCTCGTTCCTAAATATTTGTCTTTCTAGACATTTCAACAAATAACTACATACGAAGCAAAATGAGTGAATCTATACTTTAAAATATGTCTACATACATTCGTATATAATAGTCATTTAAAATGTGTAGAAAAACAAATATTTAAGAACGGAGCAAGTACAAGTTAGTACCAAGATGATGCAATCATACTTTTTAACTTGTTACGGCAGCTGGTAGCTATGTGTTCTAAAATATCAGTAGGTGTGTGTGCAGTACGTGATCGGTGGACAAAACTCACAAAAGGGTAGGCGAATACGGCCAGCTAGACGGCGAGCAACTTATTGTTACCGCACGCTAGATTTGGTGGTGTTTGGTTATTTAGTCCTAAAATTTTTTCTAGTTTCAACTAAAAAGTTTCTAGTCCCTAAAAAGTTTCTCATTGTTTGTTTTTAGAGACTAAAAAGTCACTAGTCTCTTCCTAGAGATTATTAAATGACCATGTTGTCTCTAGTATATAGAAAAATAACAATCAAACAACACAATAAGATGGCGGGCCAATGGATACATGGAGAGACATTGTTGAAAAAGTCCCCAAAAGACTTTTCTTGAGAGTCTTCTTCATTTAGTACAAATGCCTAGTTTAATTCT